ACGATGTTAGACTGATGCAACTTTAACCTCGTCCCAATAATGGAATCCACAGTTCTAGGTGGGTGGGCGGACATATATTACCTTCCAAAATTTAATCTTCAGTTTCTTCGAGTCTTTCAATTTTCAGGGCTCTTCTTTATTCTCTCAGTCCAATGCTTTTGTCCTTGTTATTTTTCTTCGCAGATTTGCACGTCCAGGTTGGCTGATGAACATTGGCATTGACAAATCGGGCTGAACTCGAGGTCGTTAACATGCCGGACCTTGAACGCCAGTTTGTTTTTTTGGCCCGGGCTAATACATGTAGATTACATTTCTAGCTCCCGAAGGCCAAAGCGCGAAAATTATTTTTGCAAATAGACTACGCGATACTGGCTCGTTACGAGTGACGGTCGCTTTTTTGCTACTTACTTCTTGACACTTACTCAATCTAACAAAAGGCTAGAATTTCGGAATGATCGGGTTTTTATCTTTGCTTCCCAATTTTGAAACCGTTATTGTCAGGGAGTCTGGCTGACTTGGACAATATGGAAATCGAAACCAAATATGTATATATATAGGAAGCTAATAAGCCTACAGAAAAGGCCTAAGAAATGTCAAATTTATTCATCACATCCAAGCCTCTTGACCATTTGATGACAAAGTTTACTGTGGAAAACACAGCACCTGAGGACTAAGGGCAGAATCTACAAAGAAATGATTAGACCAGTGGATCAAACCATCATGGTTCATAGGATGCACATCTCAGAGAAAGAAACGGTCTATCGTCCAGCACAAAAACTTCAAAGTCTAAGACTGAGACGTGATCTGGAGACAGAAAAGAAAACACGAAGCAGTACCTAATCCTACAGCCAGGAAAGCCTGCAGAAGACCTCGGTCTTCTCCAGAAGTAAGCAAACGAAGGGGACAAGATCCAAAGAGAGGACAATCAGATGAAAATAAGGACCAAGCAGCGATTGCAAGGTCCAGTACCATAAGAAGGTATGGTCTTAGGAGCATGTTCACATTCCACTCCCGAACGGGCCAAGTGGGTAAGAAAGAACGACAAGAGCGTAATGGAATAATCACATCTCTAGAATGACAAGAAACGGGGCATCAGAATTGCTAGAGTCAAATTTCCAGCGGGAAGATCAGTAGGTCGTCCAAGAAAAAGATGGAACACATATATGAACAGACAAAGTTGCCTATGTAAAACAGAAGGAGAAATATTGGATTTCTTTTCTTAACTCCTCCGACTGATCTCTCTCGCTCTTCCATACCTCTAATTTAAGCGTATATAAAGTGACGCGGGCATGTAAACGACGTCTGTCAGGACCTTCACAAAGAACCGACCTTAGACAAGGCAAAGGGCACTCGTTCTTGTATGAAGAAAGGAACAAATTATATAATCGTTCATAAACAAAGTTACACCGGTTTAGAAGCTAAAATTAGTTTTTAAACTAAGCCCAGCTAATAAGATAAAAGAAGACGACCGTTTCTAAAACTCTTGGGTGTGCCTGAAATTAGCACATCGCACATCTCTAAATTTAGAAGAGAAATAAAGGAAGACGTAATTGGTAAGTGGCCTCCAACAGGAAAAACACAATAAAAGACTGACTGAATTTGACAAATGTGGATCGTGGAATCACTTTTCACATTATCAACTTCCATTAATCATTCGGATTTAATTTTCGGTTGCACTTGATGCATTCTAAATCGAAAGCGGTCTCGCATGTTCGACCAGCATAAATTGCAAATATCGTTCAACAATATTCATAAACAGCATATTGAAAGAGAGAGCCTGATGCGATGATGTCTCTTCCACACCTTCACGCATTCACATGTTTCGCGACGCAAAACTCGAACATTTCACGCACCGCGTGTCGATTCGAAAGTGAATCGTCATTAAGGTGAAATAAAATTCATTACAAAATCATTAGAAAGCGCTAATTGGCTAATTCAAATTTATTGTGATTGCTTGACGATCACCGATGACGTTTCAAGGTGAAGGTAGTTGTTGATGTTATCCAATTTAGGTAACAACAACAACTATGAACTCGATGAAAAACACACTGATCGAAACACTCCCGTTTCGTTGAATGATCGATTTGCACTCAATGGTCATTGAAAGATCCACTTTTTCTTTGTGTCGGCAGCTTCTGATGCAAAGCTTTTTGAGAAGGAGTGAAAGGGTATAGAAAAGAAGTCTTTTCAGAACAACTTTCCTCCGTTTATTTTTTACGGCTTGATATTTTTTTGTCGAATTTCTTATATGCTATCTAGAAACCGCATATAGAGATCCCTAACACACACTTCAGCTCAAGCTGAAGGAGTTCCCAAAAATCTAATTTTAACTTATTTACGGTTGCACAAAGTCAAATAATATAAGTGATTTAGGGACTTTTGCCTGGCCTCAATTTACACATGCCGCGACATCCTGCAACCAGAAGAGTTTTTTACTTTAATAATAGGCTAGTGCAAATATATATTTTTTTAAAACTAATAACAGGCTTTGAGAAAAAAAAATTATCTGGTCTTTGCCTGTGATTTTTTTGTTCTGAAAAATTAGTTGCAACAGCCTACTATACTAATATGCAACTTTAAGCAGTCTAACGATGAATAAACCACCAAGTCACATAGACCATTTTAATGTAGACATTTCAACGATTAAAATGACCACTAATACACTTTCCAAATACAAAAAAAATCAGGACAATTGTTCGTGAAAAATAAGGATAGTTTTTTCGAACAATGTACATAACTCGAAAACTAGTCGCTATCTGAACTATCAAAACTGATGCTTATTCAGCACCAAAAAAAGACATGTTTCTACAAGTTTTTATGTAAATGAAATCATTTTTGCGCGAGAAAAAAAATACTGAAAATAGCTTTTTCGCCATTTTGACGGTAACTTTGAGGTTATGTGTTAAATACAAAAGTTTTAGATTTTTGTATTATCCACAACTCTGCCATTGAACATTTTTCGATAGGTGGTCGTAGGTACTTCAGTAAGTTTGTAAGTAGTAAGTAAATTCAGTTTATTTTCGCATCAGTACACATCAACCTCCTCGTCAAACAACCTCTTCGAGAAATACCTACTCCCAAGCCTAACCTCTCAATCAACAAGCATCGTTTCATCTAATATGGTTAACAATATTATTCATTCATCTGGATAAAAATGCGGTTGGTTCTTCTGTAGCTGATTTCGGTCTTAACCTATAATAGAATAGAAGAAAACAGACAGAATTTGACCGGCGCCAAATTGCAGCGAATCAAAGTGGTTTCAGTACGAATCGGTTTGCTTAACCCTGGTAAAGAAGAAAAAAGCGAGTCAGCAATGGGAGAGTGATCGGCGGAAAAGAGCGCGAGCGTTTTGCGGCCTTGGCCGATCATTGCACGCCAAGTCTGGGTAATTCAGTCAAGGTTTGTGTCGATGAACTTGCTCCCACCCCGGCCGCCAGGTGGGGCTGCGTAGCGCACGGCCAATGAGAGCCGAGCAGCCGGCAGCCGATTGGCTTGCTCCAGCATGACCTCTAACTTCAAAATACGTTGAACTCTGGCGCGAGCGGTCGACGTTGCCTGCCTTCTTCCCTTCAGGTATCGTCGTTGCAATATTTACTATACTCCGACTCGGTGCCGAAGAGACCACAGTACGGACTGGACTTTCACTCTTTGAGTTCGCTCGCTTGTTCGCTCGTCTCCTAGGAGTCCCAGTCGTTTGTTCGCTTGTTATCAAGTCGCATCGGCCCCAATGTCATGGTTGTGTTGATTGTGTAACTCAAACAATCGTTTCTGTTTGTTGCGTAATTGTTTAGTGACGTTTGGTGATTTTTGTAAAAAAAAACAATCAGTGCCTCCGACATGATTATTTCGGATTTAGCTTTCAAGACGCAAATTTCCGAAGTCCAGAATAGCGTAATGGATTTACGGGAAATCAAAGAACCGGCCCTCAACTTAGGTTTGTGGCTCATCATTTTGATTTAATAATATTAACTTTTATTTATAGGCATTATGAATTTATTTTAAAACTAACTGACTTATTTTTAACCAATTTGTAAATGTTATTTTGTGTTATTAAAAAGCTTCCAATGATTAAAAAGGACTTTCCAATTTACCGCAGGATAATTCGTAATGCATTAACCCATTGAAGGAAAGATAAGCCAATCGAACAAATTTAAATCGGTCACAAGTGAAGCAACAGGCCTTAGATAAAGGCGTTGATAACAGGTCAATGCTCTTCAATGTCGTAACACTTGAACTTTCGTTATTTTGACGATTCTCGTCATATCAGCAGAGTAAAAATCTTAATTAGAGAGTGTATTATGTTTGCTGATGAGTAGCGATCAGTCGCTGAACGGATGTCTGCATGTAGAAATTGGATAAAAACAGATAAAAAACTCATCGACGGCTGGTCCCCAGAGAAGAAAAAAGAAACGTCCGTTGATGGAAGAAAGCCATTAGTAGAAATCGCGTGGACGAATAACCCGATCAATGCCCCCCTCAAGTTCATTGGCTCGCGCCTAGTCGTAATCTTCTGGATCGGTCGCTGTTCTATGCCGGTTAACACCTTGCGTAATTTCACCAACATTCGTTCGATGCACTCTGCTGCTGCGTCCGTTCCACTTTCACCAATCCTCCTCTCCAGCTTGCGTAATTGCGCCTACCGGGCCGGAGAAAGTAAAAGCAATTTCTTTCGCCGTCGACGACGTATCTGCTCTCTTTCACCAAGACAGGTCATTAAATTTGTTCGACATGTTTTGCCGCTCTAGTGACTTTTTTTAGATACACGTTTGCTATTGATGACAGTGGTGAATGAATGTAACCACTTTGGAATACTGTCAAACAAAGCAAACGTTTTTTTCTGTAGAAACGGGTTACTCCAGTCAGGAACTGACCATAGATGGTCTGCGTCACGCCAGCACATGACCTAAGCCAATTCTAAGTTAAATTCAATAATGCACAACACTGGTGGAATTAAAAACTGACACTGGCTGAGCGAAACTAACCATCATTTTTTGTTTCAGAATTTGACGGCACCACCGTTCTATGTCGGGTGTGTGGCGATAAAGCTTCCGGATTCCACTACGGTGTCCATTCCTGCGAAGGATGCAAAGTAAGTTCGGTATTATTAAGTAGGCGTGTCGATCCACTAGGCACTGACACACATCCGAACCTGCATTTTGGGTTGCTTAATGGACCGGATAACCTCCGAAAAATGTCCAACAATGTCATCAAAACTAAGGACTCGTTCACAGTTCACTCTTCCTGTACGTGGTAGACGTTGGACCCGGAAGTCCGCAAATCTCAGTGTTTCAATGGGGGGAACGCGACCGGAGGGCAAAAAAGTCTGCTGGGGCGGAAGACCGAGTCTACCTACTTGAGACGCAAAATTGGCGGAGTTGAAGGTCGGCAGCGGCCCAATGTCAATGAACGGGGCGATTTGCTTTCGGTGCGGCGTAGATCGAACAATACCATTCAGTGGCGGATCAATCTTGTTCAAAAGGTTCTTTGCAATGATATGTTTTCCTTTCATTTGCTAATGCCACAAAAATATAATCTAAACATCGAAAACCCTTCTGAACCACAGCTATGTGGTATACACGAAGAGGTGTCCAGCAGCAGATGATGATGATGAGAACGAATCCGTTAATTGTTTTTTTCATACAACAACATCCGTCACTGGCTTTGGGAATTATATTCAAAATCTACATTGTACGAAATCATGGTAGGCGTGCCTAAAGCCTTGGTCCGAATGATCGGCTTCAAGGTTTCTGTCCAAATTGACCTCCCGATTTCTACGTCATCGCCACTGGCCAGGAAACGCAATTGTTTCACATTTACTGGCTCCATTTGCTGATGGCCACCATGGTACATTTTTCCTGTTTCATGGTTACGGTGATTCGTTGACAAACCAGGAAGCCACTCTGCTAGTTGGTTTCCTCCTTTTTGATCTCGGTATTAATCAATTTTACCGCATTTGCCCATCATTAGCAAAAAACGATTTCTTAGACGAAAATATCTATTCGTTAATATCCCAGTCATGGCACATCTGCCCCATTCTTCTCAACACTTTGATATGTAGCATAAAAAATTGTTCCGACGATTATCTTCCTTGCACACGCACAAATCAAAAGTAAAAGTGATCTCGTTGTCTCTTTTCTACCGCTATCATCGCAAACGTGCTTTCTCCTTTCTTAGCCGGGCAGGTGGAGGTTAACAGCGTTGGCCGTGGCGGTTCAAGGTTACAGGCGGCGTTGCCATATGACGCCGTCCACCTGCAAAATGTATTTTGCCGCTCCCCATCACCATGAAACTGAAGGTGGAACTGCAAGGGTTGATTAATGTTTGCCCACCTTTACCCACGGAAGTGGCTCTCTTGATAAAATTGGTGTGTACGCCTATGACTACCGCTGTTATCTGCATAACAACGCTTATCGTGATATTTATTTTTAAATAGGTTACTGATCCCAATGTTATGTATTCCGAGTCCCATTATTCTTATAAACATGTTTTTGTGAACAGACTGTCGTTTATTCCCATGGATCTGGAAGTTTCATAGTTTTTTTCTGATTGGTTTGTATATGAGTGACGCTTTATCGACAGTTACGTGGATAGTTGAATGTTCTTTGTCTCAATAGCCATCTTATCTTCCCATATAACTTATGGGCTACATCTTATAAGCAAGGCGAACCGGACAGAAAGTTTCAGCAAAAATGACGGTTGAGGGGTATTCGAAGTAAATGGAGAAGCCGTTTAACCCAATCTTGTTATGTGCATCCTGTGTATTGACCTCGAAAGGCAGGGGTGCGTATGTGGCGTGCTCAGACCTTTTTTTGCCCGTTTTCGATTAAACTGGCAGATGGCAGATGCAATTTTAGCCAATTCGCCAGCGATTAAAGGGTTCCTCTACCTGTTGAACTAATAAGGGCCCCTTTCAACATTCCCTACCCTTATGGGGTTTCTGTAAAATTGAAAACCCCTTCGTTTCCATTGTTCAAAGTTTTTTTTATCAATATCCGGCTTTTTGCTGATAGATGCTGTGCAACCCTTTTCGAAAGGGTGGGAAAAGGGGGTGCGCGAAATTCGATGCCAGCCAGCGGAAATTGAAAAAAATTGACGAATTATTGGTAAATTTATCGAAAAACAGTACCGTTACGCGGCAGTGTTACTGAACTCTTAGCTTGACCTCGAGGAATGGTTCACAAAGTAAAAAAACAAGTTCGACTACACAACGTAGTTTCCGAAAAGTCACGACCGCCTAGATCTAATCTAAATCCCATCCCGGGAAAAAGTCGGTAGAAACCTGTTCTATTGAAAGGTTAAGTGCTTCAAATGGATTTCCAGAAATAGATGCCACTATAAAAGTAAATATCAACTGTCGTTTATAATCATAATGGCTCTGTTCAGCCGCCGTATTTTCTGTTAATTGTCACTCGATGGGATTTCCTAATGCGCCCATTCCGGGTTTAAAAGACATAAGAACGATTTTATTAATGTATGCAATCAAAACATTGAATTTTAATTAGTAAATATCAGTCGTGTAACATAATCAATGCTTTTCGCCGTTAAAATCGTTTGAAAATTGCGTGAAATGTTCCCTTAAGCAAACTCAGTTTGCTCAGTTCCCTCAAGCCAAATGATCGTGGACTCGACGGTAAAGTGTCGATCGGCTTGCGTAGTTCTTGCATTCGGCCGCTAGGCGGCTCTGCACGCCTTGCTCGCGAGTTTAAAGTGCGCGGGTGAATGACCCACATAGTCATTGAGTTTGGAATTCGGTAACGGTATCATTCGGTTGGCATATAGATCAATGCACTTAGGAAATATGAAAGGGCTTCAGATTGCTTAAGCTGCAGCACTGAATATTCACGATATTTTTTTCGATCAATAATATATGCCATTTTTCATTGACTAATGATGGATATATGGAAAACCGCACAGAAGCATAATTAGGTCGTTTGCTGTTGACCTGGAGAGCGAAGAGCGGCGCAATTGGGTCGATTATGCTCCAGTTTAGCCCCAATTTCATGATTATGAGTGCGGTTCGTTCACCCCGCTCGCTTTTTATTGCAAATCGAGGTTAAGAGGTATTTCTCTCTAGAAATACGCTCCTTTGTTCAGGTTAGTCGAGATTATTCGCTAAAAATGTTGAGAGGTCGTGCTTTTGAAGCAAAAAGTTCATCCTGCAATTAGCACATTTTCCAGATTAAAATGGGGGGTTTGGGATTTGCGCGACTCAATTAGGCTTTCCTTGGTTAAACAGCTCAAAGCGAGGGAGTAAATAGGGTAAATGTCTAAAAAATTCAGTGGTGGCGTTAGAAGATTTCAAAGCGGTTATGGTCTCTCTAAGGGTCTCAAGGAAACTATGAGTTCAATTGCCACGAGTGCCTGCCTCCAAGACAAAATAGTTATATCCAGTAGTTTGCCAAGAAAGACAATTTTTTGTTTGTTTATTGTTGAAGCTCTATTTATTAAAAGCGCCATAAACAAACTGGTTTGTGCAATCCGCACCGTGTGTGTTTACCTGTCGTCCCATTTGCCAGGCGTTCACCTTTCTCCGTCGCCCGATTTAGAACGCGAAATGGGACAGTACTAATTTTTAAATCAATGAAATGTGTAGGAACGAGCGAATATGAATTTGGGTCAATCATCCGATCCGACCGATTTACAACAGAAATTGAAATATTTTCAAAATGGCACATGTTGTTGTCACTCAGCATGGCCAACACACGTGTAGTGACGTCAAACGCCCAAAGTTTTCGACAAGAAAAACATCCGCCCGATGCTCTACTGTTGTGTCATCCTACAGTCTAATCGGTCATCGCGAAAAAACAATGACACTTTGCATTGTAGAATCCGTCACGTAGGCCGTGCAAAGGATGGCGCTATTGGGCGTTGGGTGTGCGCAACAGAGAACAGATTTCCTCATTACGATTTGCGGGATAGTTCAACGAACTCGCGATTCGAAAAATTGGCGCGATTCGTCGTCAACAATCGAATTAGTTCAAATGAAGAAAACTGATTTGGGTTCGCCTTAAAACTTGAAAGGGTGAAATTACTAGGTAGTAGCTAGTTTAACACTTCCCCGTTTTCCAACAGTAAAAATGCTGGAAAATGGGGGTAGTATTTTGATTTTGTGCTTATTTGAATAGTTTATCAGGTTATTCACAGACTATCCAAATAAAAACTTTGTTGAAAAGGTGTACAATGGTACAGAAAAATGGCGAAGGGCAGTTTGTGTCGCTTTTGAATCATGAGATTTTATATCGAAACATCTTCCAAACCAAGCCTCAACTGTTAGAACTGATCTACAACACTTCGAGTAAATCAATGTAAAAACCCCACTCAAGCTACCCATTGTGGGAACGTTGAATCAACAAATGATAATAAAATGTGCACTATTTCATCCAGCAAATGCCGGTTGTTTGTCCTGTTCATTATCGTGTTTCCGTTAGCTCATCAAAAACTGCTTTCTTCAACATTCTAGATATGAGTCAAAAACCTAGCCCAAACGTGAGCTTTCTGTGTATTTAATCAATCCGCTCCAATTAGGCAATCGACTGCGAGTTCTTTCACCTCTGGACGGCCTTTTGTTGTGCTAATTGACCGACATCGACGTGGCTATTGAAACTAAGACATTTTAAACCAAGAGCACTGCAACTAGGGTAACACCCCAACGCCTCATTTCGCCCCCATTCTCGTCAACTGGCCGGCTTGAAACACGGCAGCATTTTCGGTTTGGACAAAGTTACGTGTGCACGTTTCGTCATTGTCGAACTGCAATCAGATTGCAATGTCCGCCCAATTGGATTCAGGCTTTGCGAAACGCTGCGCTGCAGTGCATTGACACTTGCATGTCGTCGTCGTCGCCGTCTCTTACAAACACTCTCCGAGTGACGTAATGGCACCGACGACGTCGTGACGTTTGCCAATCAAGGTGCGCCACGGATGAATCACATGCATCACAATCACACAGTAAACCGTTCGAAATACCAGCTTGATGATGATCGGCTTCCCAACCGCATTTTCTAGATGGTTCCAACTGTGTCACTCTGGCACAACAAAACAAACGAACTCTCTTATCGGAATCGCGTTATCTCCGCCTGAAAAGGGTGGCGCGAATGTTAAGCTGGTCAGTGCACTCGTTGCACCGTTGCGAATGCACGGCACCCACGAACTAAGGTCATTGTGGTGCACTGACCCGTTGCGATGCACGAATCGTATTTCGAGAAGCTTCACTTTTATATCGTGTGTGGGGCATGTTCAATTGCATCCGATGAATGTTAAATGCGGGAAAAAGGAGGCCAGAAAGATGTCTCTGTTTGTGTGTACTTCCAGAAGTACACACCGATCTGGTTTCGCATAGGTTTTCTGCTATTTGTCTGAATATCTAGTTATCCAGGTGACAAGCTGACGTGAATTTGACGTGGGGTCGTCACTGAAGTCAGTAAATGACGTGTGGAAGTCACGGACCGATCACATAATTTCAGTCGATTTAATGACGTATATTGTCCCGACATTTTCACTATCAGCAGGTTTTCTTTTAATTTTTTGTTTCGTTTCGTTCTTTTTGATTTTTTATTGAAGCAGGTAGTAGTAGTAGTAGTTTAGTTTATTTGGAAAAGCGATACAAAATATGTAGGTAACATGTTTTCCACCCTTATTAACTATTACTCTAATTCAAGTTATTTAATAAATATTGTTTAATACTCGTTTTGTTTCGCTTAAAGTTTCAGTCTTTACCTCAACAGGTAGCAAGTTATATTTTCATAGGCCCTTATCAAACCAACCAAATGGGCTGGAGTTTTTTGTTATCACATTTATATGAAAATTGTGATAATGCCTGGTATGATAATTATGAAATTCATTATTTCATTAAAAAATCCTGCAAATATAAATGTTGAAGGCCATAAAATCCTACAAATAAAAATGAAAATCTGGTACTGGAAACTATGTTCAATATCAAGCCAATTGAGAAATTTAAACATTTTTCATTGGTTCATATCTACTGCAATTCAAAATGGTTCTCATTGCTCTATTCTGAAAGCCTCCACCGGCAGTTTATCAATGTGATATACATAATTTGGTAGAGCGACTTCGGTGACGAAAAATTACCAAATTATAGCAGCCTGAAAATGAAGTGTAATTGCTACTTGGGCACCTGTTTCAAAATTTTCCCATAATCTGTTTGAATCAAACTGTTTGGAAAAGCTTGAGCTAACATCATTCGCCCGTTGTGCAAATACATGGGATGGAGGTGGCAGCAGCAGAAACATGTGTTAAAGTCAACCAACCTTTTCTTCAAATCTAGACCACAAAGGGTTACTCTTATAATGTCTTCTCACGTGCTCTCGATGTCCGTTGAAATGTTGCCCAATCGGGGCATAAACGATTGTACGTTCGTACCTATGGCGCGCTCATTGCCGATATCTTACCCAATCCGAGCTGCACATAATTTGTTTATCGGATTTCAGTAAATAACGAGGTCAGAACAATAATACACCATCCGAAAAACCGGGCCGACGAACGCAAACGGGGTTACAGGCGTTATCTCGAAATTGAGCGCGCGCTCGCCCCAGTTCGGGCCCCATTTTTGCGAATTAACATCAACTAATACAATAACAATGTGATTTGGAACGACGATGACGACGCACCGGCCGTTGAACCCGCCCAGCCAGTCAGCGATCGAGCAAATTCGAAATTGACCGGTCAAAGAACTCTTTCAACGGCCGAATATGGGTTTCTTGGGTGATGGTTCACCGGCCCCGTGACGTCACCAGCCAACTGTCACTCGACGCTGTTACGTCACCGAGAGCGATTTCTTCGGAACCGGCGCTGCTTGAACTCTTCGACTAGAACCGGTGTCAACGCACTCTCTTCGATCGTGTGTACAAAGTACTGTTCTATTTTTAACAGTGGAGGTGAGCGACCATGGCCACGTCTGTTCCTATGAATGATGATGTTGATGATGGTGACAATGTCTTGGTTTGATGACCTTAGAATGAGGGCCTTGTCACTCCACCGTTTCGCCTCAAAGTTCGCTCTGTTCTTCGATCTACGCGATTTGAGCTTTCCATATCGTTCTAACTGAAGTGTTTGCGCAAAACCCAATTGGAAATCCGTCCGAAGGGTTGCTGCAATAAGGCGCACAATTAGACTAGATTCGGATTTCAATAAACGTAACTCTCGGTTGAGTAATCAGCGTGTATGATCGTTCTTGAGGTGCCATAAGCTACAATGATGTCATGGTAAGAGAAAGCAGCGGTGGTACGAAATTGCGATCGTTTACAATACATTTTTATTGTTTGTTTACGTTCTCCACAGTCCACTTAAAACGCGTAAATATCTTATGAACGAATCAGTTCAGTTGAAATAACACCCTAAAACTGCGTTCAAAATATAATCGCAACTATCTTTCCATTGATAATTTTTTCTGTTACACGAAAGTGCAAGAAAAGTGTGTTAGATTGCTGCAAGAAACAATTTTGTTTTCTGCGAACCAGCCGTCCGCAATGCAATCGACCAATTAACGCAATATTGTTCATAATTTAATGTAAATAGTGCTTTACTTACGTTTTTGTTTTATTGCAATTATGATTTTACCGAGCCAGTTGCGCCGCTAGAGTTCACTGACCGCATATACCGCCAATTTATCCCGCGCTCGATCATTTTTGCATTGCCATGGAAAAACACAATACACCACTAGCTCCGTAGGGATGACATGGTGTTTAGAAGTTTTGAAAATTCCTGAAAATTCTGGAAAAAATTGGGCGGTTGTGGCAATCGAATCAAGGCAAGCGCGCTTGGGCCCTGTTGCAGTGACAAAACTAGTTCGATCCTTGTCTTTGGCGGCTCGTTACTGTGAGCGAGAAAGAGAACGAAGACTCTCACTTTCACGCAGTGAACTGGCCTCGGAGCTCACTTTGGCGGGTGAACAACCGGGAACTGGGTCATCTGGTTAACAGCCCGCTTAACTCTACGGGCTGGCGTCAGTGCTACGTTGAGCCCGTAATCGAGCAGACGTGAGATCAGAATTCGATCAGAAATCCGTGTGCTATGTTTTAATTCCAAAATATTTTGAATAAGTTGAGTGAACTGAAAGAGCGACAATGATGGCAGTGTTACCGTGTGACAAGTCCTTAGTGGGGAAGGGGGATGACAGCAGTTCGGGGTGTGAATCATCTTCCGACGAATGCTCAAATAAAGATTGTCCGCAGGGCTTCTTCAGGCGAAGCATCCAGCAAAAGATCCAGTACAGGCCTTGCACTAAGAACCAGCAATGCGCCATCCTCAGGATCAACCGCAATCGATGTCAATATTGCAGGTTGAAAAAATGCATCGCCGTGGGAATGAGCAGAGATGGTGAGTTCTTTCACATTTTACATTTATATAAAATAGAACTGGGGAAAATCTGAAGTTGGCCAGATTCGGCGCCGAATTTAGGTCGCCCGGTCCGGGAGGTCAACGACCGCGCTCGGTACAGCTCGGTGAGCGCCGCGAAAGTCCAAAAGGTGAACGAACCTTCTTGCACAACGATCTGCATTGCAAGTCGGTTGAGGTCGACAACTTCTGCGTGCGTGAATACCGACCGCCATGCCATAACCCGAGATCGTTGTGCTACTTTTCGCACTTTCGTATGTCACCACTTCAGCGCGAAGACTGGGCTGAATTACGTCAACATGTCGAGCGCCATTTATTTTTATTTCACATTCATTACAATATCTGCTTCACTTTTTCTGTTTCTCACACCTCCACATTTTAAGTCCCCTGATACCCTCTAATGACTTGTGACTATGGATCGATCCCTTTGAGCTATTTGGCTAAACTTTCTTTTCACGCTTCACCTACTCTACCAGTTTCTAGAAGTGCTTGTTTCTTTGCCAATCTGATAGTTGGGAAGCCATTTACCACACCAAAAGTAAGAATCATCAAGGAAAGAATGCCCATTTTGGAGAAAGTAGTTTCAAGTCGGTTTCGTTTTTCGTCGTCGACCGAGAATGAAAGTTCCCATGGCCTCCTTCCACAAGAGGTTCGATGCCTCTTCGATGTGAAACTTTCGTTTCATGTCGTAATTCGAATTAAGGAGAAATTTTTGCCACTCGCCGAGGCCAATTTCACCCATTATTGCAAAATGCCGACTTTCAACCTCAATCTGACATCACCGCCTGATGGTTGTGTAGGTGGCGGCGCCGGCCGCTCAACACCTGAACTAGCTCATTCGCGCCCTTTTAAAACCGGTCGATTCAAATGCGCGCCTTTGGGGTGAACGACCTTGGTGCTTTCACCAATTCAACATTCTGTTGTTTTACCCTCACAGCTACCGTGGACTTGCTACTGATCACGATCATTATGGTATTTTCAAGCCAAAGCAGGCAAGCTTTCAGCTATTTGCATGCGCGCACTTGGTTGATTTCAACTTGTTTTTTGTATATGCTTTAGAAGCAGCTAGGCGCAGTATGCCGAAAATATTGCGCAAGGCCGCCACACAAAAATAGAGTAGCAGTTTTATGCCATTTTTATTATATCGGCATTATATAATTGGGAATTTGTTTGCCGCTTGGCATTGAAAGTAACGGGATATTAAGCGCGGGAAAGGTCACGATGTTGCCAAAGTCGTGCAATTATCTGAAAACCCATGTCACAGATTAGCGAATTTGCAAGTCAATGTTGCCATAAATTACTATATTTCATTTCCGCCTAGGAGTTTTTTTCAATTAATATAAATCACTAGGAGCTCGTTTGATTACATTTAAACGTTTAATTTGGTTTTGATGTTAAACTTTACACTCTCTTGAACAATTTTTTCGATACATGTGTCAAAGCAAGCTCAAATAACGCGACAACTTCAACGAAGGAACGAGAGGCGTTATAGTAGCTAAAGCCCACTGAACAATTAAGATCCTGCGGGTCAGATGTGCAATTCTACAAAAGCATGTGGCCCCTAATCACTCATAGCATACTGATACTACTTCACGTATGGACACTAATCAAACATAATGGAATTATTTGCAAAATATTGGTGTCCTAAATTTGCGTTTTGCATCGGCGACATGCTTGATTTGTTTGTCCGAGAGTTAATATTCGGTCATGTTAATATTCAAATCTTCCTGCAAATTCGCTTCTCATCAATTCGTTTTTGGAATAAAAACTTGGAATCAAAAACTCATGCAATGGGAATTTTTTGGATGCAAAACTGCCGAGTTCCGCACAAGAAGCCAGAGCACAACATGCAAGGTTACTCACATTGAATGGTCAGGTAAAAGAACGGCAAATATCTGGCAACATTGTGACACACAGAACGGAAAACAAAGGAGTGGCGGTCGTAGGCGGCCGCGATAACGGCCTTGACGCCGTCCGCTCGTCGTCCCGCGGCGCTCGTATCGGTCGCGAGCGTCAGCGCAACGCGCTCAAGTTCAAGGGTTATGGAGGGGAGTTGGGGAGCTGTGGAATGGGGGGAGTAAACGCGCGGGCATCGTGCCTCTTCCGCGCCACTCGTTCAACACTATTTGTCGGGAATGCCAGGCCGCGCGGTATTTCGCTACGCTAGCAGCCCGCTCGCTCGCGAAAAGTGCAACATGACGGAGGAGCTACCGATCCTCAAAGGAATACTCAATGGAGTGGTCAACTACCATAACGCACGTAGGTGTCAATTGTTTTGTCGCTCAGGAACCCCTCACTGGGCTACTGAATTTGCTCTTCCGCGTTTTGATCAGTGCCTTTCGTGATTGTCTTTTTGTCCCATGCCAACGATTAACCTCTTGACCAAACGTCACCTCAATTTTCCGTTTACAAAGTTGAGGAAATTATCAAAGTTTTGCTACCCTTGACATTTTCCCTGCAGTCACTTTCGTTGACCTACTACACTCTCTCCACGGTGTGAAAGCCAACCAAATTTCTCCGGTCGCTAATCCGCTTTCTCCATTTTTTAAATTATATTGCCTCACCTGCTTCACATGGAGCTATAGACTTGAATTGGAAAAATTCCCAAATAATTCAAAATCCTTTTTTTTACAGCAGTGAGATTTGGTCGCGTCCCCAAAAGAGAAAAGGCTCGCATTTTGGCGGCCATGCAACAAAGCTCCAATTCGCGCTATATGGAAAAAGCTGTTGCCGCCGAACTGGACGATGAGCAACGTCTTCTCGCCACTGTCGTGCGAGCCCACATCGACACGTGTGACTATACCAGAGATAAAGTGGAGCCGATGCTGCGTCGTGCTAGGGAACAGCCCTCCTACACTGCATGCCCTCCGACACTGGTAAGTCCAATTTTCAACGTTTTATTGCATCCGGTAAAAAACAAAAGCACCGTGCTAAATAGGGCGGTAATAATGCCGAGCCGACCTTGTCTGCAAAGGGGCAGGCAAGCGGAAGTAACCAAAGACCGAATATTCTCATATTTATTATCCAATTTAAAGTGATTTCGTTCAATAGCGCGTTTTCCAAATCCAGGCGACGACTAGCAATAATAGCTGAACCTTAGTTTCCAAGACAGAAAAACTTGTTTTCAAATATTCCCCTTGTCCATCACTTTCAAAATTAGGCGTTAGCAAAAATCATACGTCACCTCTGAAATTTGATTCCGCCATCTTGCGCACGCGCTCAAATAAACTCGAAAGTGAAATTTGATAAGTATTGCAATCCTTTAATTCGAAGAAACCAGGATCATCTAATTTTCCCAAAAAATACCAAAAGCTATTTATCAGTAATACATATTTTCTTCACATCACGTTTTTACGATTTAAAATATCACATCGTTTGTCATTTGTGGCAATTGATGAAAACCGAAACCGCACTCAAAAAGTAGTCACTCGCGAAGCCACACATTCTAAGGAAACGTTCAAGGTTCCAGGGCGAGCAGTTTCCGTCTTCGCAAGGACATTGCGCACTTGAACGTCCCCGCCGTGACCTCAGGCCATTCAAATCGCGCTCGAACTACTCCATATGTATGCCCAATACACTTGGACTAATCATCCTTGTCATTGTTGCAGGCTTGTCCACTAAATCCCAACCCGCAGCCGCTCACCGGGCAACAGGAGCTGCTCCAGGACTTCTCCAAGCGATTCTCGCCGGCCATCCGAGGCGTGGTGGAGTTCGCAAAACGAATTCCGGGTTTCTCACTCCTGTCCCAGGACGATCAAGTCACTCTCCTGAAGGCGGGTGTGTTCGAAGTGTTACTAGTGCGCCTCACGTGTATGTTTGACTCACAAACCGCCAGCATGATCTGTTTGAACGGCGAAGTGTTGAAAAGAGACTCTATTCACAACAGCTCCAACGCTCGTTTTCTTATGGACAGTATGTTTGATTTTGCTGACCGTATGAACACGCTCAGATTGTCGGATGCCGAAATCGGGCTATTTTGCTCGGTGGTCGTGATCGCCGCTGATCGACCCGGCCTGAGAAACACCGAATTGATAGAGAATATGCACGAAAAGCTGAAGAAATGTCTGCAGACCGTGGTGACTCAAAATCACCCTGGACAGCAACACATTCTTGATGAACTAATCAAGAAAGTCCCAGATCTCAGAACGTTGAACACTCTCCACTCCGAGAAGTTGTTGGCGTTCAAAATGACCGAACAGCAGCAAATGATGCAGCAACAGCACCACTTGTATGGCTCGTCCGCAGAGGAAGAGTGCAATAATCAAAACAGCAAAAGTCCCGCAGCATCTTCATGGTCCTCGTCTTCAGACGTAACCATGGACGAAGCGAAATCTCCACTTGGTTCCGTATCCAGTACCGAATCCATGTGTTCTTCGGAACTAGTGTCTAATGAATATCATCATGTGCCGGCACACCATGTTAGCGCCAATGCTGCCAGTGCACCTCTGCTGGCAGCTACTTTGGCTGGAGGACTATGTCCGCACAGACATAGAGCAAACTCCGGCTCCACTTCCTCAGGAGATGACGAATTAGCTGCCACATCACACTTGATTCACAACGGACTAACGATAACCCCCGTATCCAGGCCTCCAGTCACGCACAGATTTAGAAAAGTTGATTCCCCAACGGATTCGGGTATTGAATCTGGAACTGAGAAGCTGGACAAACCCACCTCCATCTGTTCGAGTCCAAGGTCTTCAGTTGACGATCACCACATCGTCGAAGATATGCCCGTATTGAAGCGAGTGTTGCAGGCGCCGCCTCTTTACGACACCAATTCGTTAATGGACGAGGCGTACAAACCCCACAAAAAATTCAGAGCGCTAAGACATAAAGATTCAGCCGAAGCTGAGCCGGTCGTAGTAATGTCACCTCAGCCGGCTCCAGTTTCGCAACTCCAAATGCAATTATCGTCGCCACCTCAATCCATGCTGTCTAGCTCTCACTCCATGTTGGCGAAGAGCCTCATGGAAGGTCCCAGAATGACTGCTGAACAGATGAAAAACACTGAGGTGATCCACAGTTACATCATGAGGGGCGAGTCTGCAGCACAGGCTTCGCCTCATGTGACCGCCTCTCCTACTTGCCCCTACAAGAGTGGAGGTCTTTTGCAGCCCGCTTGGGCCACCAGTGTGATTACCAGCGCGCGATCCATGTCCGCCAGCCCCATGCACATTCAGTCGCCACACTCCACATCTCCAGCCCCAACAAGGTCACCACACCCGACGATGTCTTTAGAGCTGCATGTGGACGTGGCGGAGTCACAGCAGCCCCTCAACCTATCCAAAAAGTCGCCCTCACCGTCACCGAGGCCGAAAATGGAAAGTCTAGCGGTGTAGGTCCGATTAGCGGGCCTGACTACAGTACAAAGTGGAGTGCTCGTGTCCACGGTAAGAGACTATTCAGCCTTACTGTTCGATCGTTTTGGTGCCACTTTAATCTAATTGTTGAAACCAAAAAATTCATATTTACTGTATATTCATCTCTACTTTGCTGTCTATATCTCTGTATGTTGATGTGTGACCATGTTCGTAGTTTAGTGGCTCATGTAAAGATATCTCTACTTCCTCCGCCATGGCGGGCGACCTTCGCTCTTATGTACATAGTGGACCAAATCGGGTCCCCCGCCCGCCCTTTCCGTAGTTAAGATTTCTCATTCAAACAATCACTAATTTAAATTACTATACGTAGAATCATTATTAGTGGATAAATTTGAATTACGATTAATTTCGGCATCGGCACCCAATCAGTCCCTGTAATGATTAATAATATTATTTTGTTAATATGTATGTGATAAATTGTTTTCTAGGATATCTTCTCAGTTTGTAAAAAGTTACGATAAGATCGTTCACCGTCATTCATCCACATTGAATTGTATCGCCACCCTTTTTTCATTTAGATTAGGCGCGAGTCGACTAGGAGACATGAGACTGAGAGGGGATGCCCCCTTTTACGCACTAGGCCCCCAATAAAGGGCAACTCACCGTTTTGGGGCGCCCCTCATCGTTAGTCCCCTGCTCGCAAAATTTAGGACGTGTAAAGTTCTGCCCTCAACTTTATATCATTAATTAGTTCAGACTAGTGCAAACAAACTGTGTATTAATTTTATTGAATAAGTAGATTTTTCTTTATTATAACGCCTCGACGTGCTTGACCCGCCAACTCTCAAGTTCCGGGTCCAGCATCAACCGGCTTTCCTATAGTGCTATCACTGTGTAAAAACTTGTAAATTTGAGGCTTGTTGAGGCGAACAGAATAAAACATGTCTTGGTGATATAGAATTGCCGTTTTTTTCCTCAATCCTTTCCTTTTATCAGTGTAACCATGCGCAATATTGCGCAAATCAAAAAAGGACGGCGACAATTCTTAAAGCAGGTAGGTACTTGCTTTATATAGAACCGGGTGTAAAAATGTACGTCTTTATTTCACTACTTGAGAAAGTCGAAAGTCTGATAGGGGACTAGCTTATGCGCAGCGATCATAAACACTATTAAAAAATTCTGTAACATAGAAAGTCTGTGCGCATAAGCCGCGCATTCTAGGGGTCAAGTCAAGCTTATAAGAAATTAAGAGTGAACGACACCGGAAAAAAATGCGATCAGAATATCAAAGTCATATTAGTTAATTAAATTCTAATCAATAAAAATGAAATGACATTAAATTCAAGAATCTATGTGAAAACTACACAGTACAGAGCGCGTAAGAAACGTAAAAAAATATTTAACATAGTTATATAGTTACATGCTGAGCTCAAGTCATTGGATGGTTGCTCCTAATGGCAAATATACAGGGTGACGCATAATTTAAAATTGGTGTTCTGTGAGAAAAAATAATAGATGTACAAATAAGGCTTGGATTACGAGTTACAGTGACAAAATTTAAAAAAATGTAAATTTTCTGTAAAGGTCCCTTCCAGAGCGAAAACTAACACGTATTCTTATGTGTAGTTTAATACTTCCTGCTAGGATTGCGGATTGCGGACCCTTTACCCGTCCAACCTTTTTTGTAGAGCGCCTTTGCTACTTTATTTCTAGACACTTAAACTCTATTACATTTGAATATTTTTTAAACTTGCATTACTGCACTCTCGTACTATTATTTTCAAATTTTAAGATTGAATACTAATGGAATCACACGTGTAAATGTAAACTTCCTTCAAAAAATCCCTATTTCTGTTTAAAACTAAGCGTTTTTATAATATGGTTAAAAAATGTATTCAAAACTATGCATCAACTCTTACACCCTTTTCAATATAATAAAATAAGGAAAAATTCGTGTTCTATTCCTATCCTGTAATTCGATAAAAACGGCGAATTATGTGATTAACTCTCCAAACTGTACCACCACAAAGGCATCCGCTACTTCAACACCAAGTTTTCCAATCCTGAACGAGCAGCTGACTTAATTAAATTTAAAACTCAGCAAACGCTGATCTCGAGTTACCGCAGCAAGGTTCAAGGTGACGCCACAATTTTAGGAGGAAAGTTCAGAGGTGAGCACGTGTAGGATTGAGGAATTGTTTGTCCACATTGAAAGGGCAGCATTGTTCTCGCCTAGATGTTACCGAACTTAAAAAGGATTCGACGATCTTCGAAAGACTGTTGGAACCACCTTGTATTTAGTGACGCAGTTAGAGACCCGCTGTGATTGTTATTTTTTCCTTATTTGATTGAGTAGGCTCTAGACACACAATCGCAATAAAATCAAATAGAAATAATCGTCGTTTTAATGTTAGAACTACCAGAACGAGATACTAGGTATAATCCAATCAATATCTAGGAAATGAGTCAGTTGGACCGAATCAAAAATACTATTTTAATGATAACGTGTTTTTGAGGGGCTTTATCTGACGTTCCGACGCTTTATTTTGAATCGCACGTGTCGGCGCCTACTCCCTTTTCCAAGGTTGGGCTTCCCCCTAATAATTTGATTTTGAGAAGTCGATAGTCCGTAGAAACTAAATAAACAACCAAATCTGAGCAACATGTTTTCCCCAACCTTGACAAAACGATACATAAATGAATTGTCTCGATTTGAAGGTCTCGGCATGATTTATGGGTCTGAAGCTCAGTCCAGTCGCTATTTTGCATACGGTTTACCTAAAAATTCGAAAACATGATGTCAACCTGGTGGGTCCCCCTGCTACCTAAACATGATGGTGTTGGCAAGATTTTCGCTTGGAAACCCATGCAAATGATGACGTATCCTGCATATATGCAAGCAACGACTGAATATGATTTGTTCAGTTCAGGCATGTCGACCTTGGCAATGGTTTCATTAACTTGACTCGTGAATTTATTATATATTTTATTGTGCTTTAATGGCTGATTATCGTCGCTACTTTAATAACTTTGCCTACGTAACGCCGCTCTTATCGGTCGTTACAAGGAAATTTGTTTGCCAATAATACCTTTGTGTGCGCACTGTTTATCAGGAAACACTTGCTTACATACATTTGAACTTCAGAAAGTCAGGATAATAACATGTGTACCAACCGAACTGGAGATTAACGTTGTTATGACAAATAAAAAGATACTAAATACCATTCGCGGTTCAGTTCAAGGTTTTTTCCTAAACTAATTTACATAATTACTCGGGAAATTTACCAATTTTCACGGTCCATTCGTTGGACTTCGCATCAAAATATGCCTCTAACAGCAATAGAAGTCAAAACTCCAATTAATTTACATAAACGACAAATGTCCATCATAAAATAATAAAGTGCTGATTTGGAATCCTATTTGAAGATACACGGTGATTCAATGATCTGCCAAAGCAATATATCCACTTTCACTTTCTCAGAAGAATCGATCTGCTGGTAATAAACATAATTGTAGATTCTACGCGTCTCTTATGTCGAAGATGCGGCCGATTTAGAGTACAAGAACGGTAAACTGCCTTATGCACGTTCGACATTGTTATAGATTTTAAGTTAACGAAGGCACCCTTTAAAAACTAACACACTGTGCACAAAATCGAGCAATTATATGCCTGGATGCATGATTGCTGCTGATCATTTCTTCAAATAAACATTTAGAGTAAGGTTAAGCAAGTTTTACAGTGAACAATGAAAAGCTTTCCACATCAGCAGAGCCATCATGAGCTTTTGAAATAAGCAAGTGCACATTTCGAAATGCGCCCACCTCAGGCACGCCCAGGACCAGTTTCCAGCCTATTAGCTCTCATCAGCTGGGTTCCAGGGTTTCCACATTTAAAACTAGCGGTCTCTCATCAATCTCTTATCACACTACACTTTATCGCAATGCTTAAAGAAACACGCTTACAGCTTACGCTGTTGCCCCAAAGGTGCTTGGACCTTTTCTTCTCAAGCTCTAGATCTTCAGGCAAATAGCTCGCCGCGTTTCTTAACTCCTCGCCAGAATCGGGTGGTTTCCAGATGCTTCAAAGTCCGCTGCTTCCTTTTTTGTAGACCTCCCACTTCAGGCGCTTGTAGATCGCAAGTTCCTTACAAAACAAGGCGGCTCGATAGCGATTCGCATACGTTTTTGTCTTGTGGCCTAAAGTCTATTTAGAAGACATTTGACTGCATCTCCCTGTTACCTATTTTTATTCATCCGCTTTTACTGAGGCGTATGGATCGAATTAAAGTGATTCGGCCAGCAAACACAATTTCAAGCTACCAATGAAAACAAAACCAAGCAGTATCGGCTTGATCATGTTCTTGATAAGTAAAAGCTTCGTCCTCATGCACATCGGACTTCTTCTGCTTGGAGTAGGTAAAATTTGGCAATGTTCCCGTAACCTCTTCAAAGAAATGACGCCAATTTGTGAATCCAAATAGCAGCGATTGGCATTCAAGGCAGATTTTCCGACGATCTTGACTTCAACGACGAAAAATTTGAACTTTTTTGAAGTTTTAAAGTTGCATCTTCGACAAAAACAAGGTGTTGAATAATCATGCAGTTTGGAAAATGGTGTGTGACTTAAATTTTTCTTCCGTTTGTCCGACTCGTGTTGGACTGTTCTGCACTTCTGTTTGACAACATTGATGGAAACAATGACTATCCAGTGCTTAGAATAGTTGGACCGGCCATATTGACAAAGCTTGGACAATTCCAAATTAACATTTAGCTAATTACAATAAGAAAAAAGCAGCATGAGCGATGTCGTCATCCAAAATCGGCCTTCAGGCCTAATAGGTTTTTGAATCAATTAACTCGTTCGCGAGAAATCCACTTGACCGTCAATTGACCCGTGTGATTCACCAAATGATTCCACTTCCTTATTGATTATGTAACCGAGAATAAACAACGACTTCGGTCTTTCCAAGCGCTTCTTCTGACTTCTTGTGGCTTTTTCTATTTTTTCCGGTAATGCTTTGTAGTTATCCGTGGTTTTTACACAATTCCAAACCAATGAGGATGTATGACAACAATTAGCAAATGTCGCTCTTGACCTTAACAGCACGAGTTTTCCGATAAATGAAACTACGAAATTGCTGAATGGTAACAGCGCTCGGAATCCACCGTGTAACGTGTTGGCGCGGTTCAAGGTCACCCTTATCTAGGGATCATTGGCAAATTTTTGCCAAATCCGCGGTTTCATCATCGAGTTGATCCCAGTCAATGTCAGCCAGATAAAGCAACTAGATTCCATATTTTCCTGCCAGTTTAGTCGTTGGAAAAAATCTAACCTCAGAAATTGCGCTTAAAAACCATTATACTGGCTGATTATATTGGCTTTAATCAAATTCGCAATTATTATACATATATATATCTTGACATGACCATTGATCATTCATTGAAACCTTGGCAAAAAGCCAAGAATATCCGGAACTAATGTCGAATAGAAATAAAGTTGTCCTTAAGGGCCTGTCCTCTAAGCCTCTTGTTTTGGTCCATTCATCTTACGAGTCAATTGATGTTATTTGTTGTTGATGCTCTTGTCAAATAGAAGTAGGTACAAAATTTTCTAATTTACGGCTCCTTTTACCTTTGTCACTTATTATTTTAAATGCTTAACGTATTGTCCTTCACGGTCACTATCCTTTTCAGTCCCCACACTGTTGTCATGTGTACGTCTAGCACTTAAGCAAGAGGATACAGTTCAAATCATAAAGGTCACTCAAAAATGATACTTAACATTATGATCACTTTTTATCGAAATAAAAAAAACTTCTTGTATCAGGCAGTAGAAATGTGAATTTTGATATGCGTTTTGATTTTGCGTTTAAATTCAACGACTGTCCAACAAATTTTTCTTTCTTGCAGTTCTTTGATTTGAAAGCCCATTATTAAAGCAAAACATTCTGCATTATACTTTGATATTCTTGTTGAATTGAATGTTTGACTTAATCAAGTCAAACTTATCCAGCGTCGAAAAAGCAGAAAACACTTTTTGTTTTTGCCCAGAATTTCATATTTCCATCTATACGTAATTGGCAAATTTAGATGAAGGTCACCCAACAGAAAATGTCTAATTATACTCATGTAACACTGAAATTTTTTCACCTCTGTTTTGTTAAAGTGTTGCTTCTTCATCATTCCTTTTTTCGATGTTATTTTTTTTGTTGCACTGACGTAAATCCGATTGGATACATCAAAGAAGCCGATTGTAAACAGATGACATAATGTAAAATACCAAAGCCAATCTTAAGGTTCAATTTGCAGCAATATTCACCAATTAAAAAAAAGAAAAACGGCATTAATTACAATGCGGTACCCGCACTCGTTTCTATTTATAAATGAAGCTCGTGCTTGAGCATGTTAAAATTACTTTCACTGCTGCGTTTCAAAGTCACGGTCACTATATTTAAATTCAATTCACTTTACTCCAGTCATTTTTTCGGTTGTTTTTTCAATTACAGCTGCATCAAATAAGAGAATTTGCTGATCGTTTCTTCTTTCCATCACTATCAAGTCGAAGATTTTTGAATCGGGCCCTGTTAAGCTCCTTGAAACCCAAAGGGCTCCATGCCGAGTCTTTCAAGTAATTCTTCAGTCGTCAGTCAGTCAGAAAAGTCGTTTACAATGTAACTTTAACCTTTCATTTTTACGGTCAATTTTTTCAAGAAAATAGCCTGCTGCCGGTTTTCTATTTTTACCTTTCTTAGTTTTCATTTGCTTTGCCTCACTGACCTCTCTTTATTATATCTATTATTTGGCCTAGTGCTTGCTGTGTTTAAGCTGAAAGTAACTTAATTTCGCTAAAGTACAAGCGCCTGTCTGCATCCCTCAATTTTCACGTCTGAGGCAAAAAGCAATAGTTTAGCATCTCACAATATATTTGCATGTAAAAAAATGAATCCTTAGCTTATTGGCCGCTGATTTATTCTTTCAAATTAACAATTTTAATCCTGGTCTGAATAAAACGGGATTGCCACGTCTAAATTGGGATTCTGGAAAGATTAAGTTTCGGGAGCAGGATTAACGAGTTTCACGTGGAAAGAGAAAGTTTATCTTAGCGAAACCGATGGGATTTTTAACCTGAAAATAACRAAATGCTGCAATCAGTAAACGACTAATTGCCAAATCAAAWTTAAAGTCCGGTTTAAAAAAAAGTTTYCAAAGGCGTGTGAGATCTTCATATTATACAGCGTGATTCAAAATTTATMGTCATTCCTTTTAAGGGGCAATTATCAGTTGAATATCGAATTTCAACTGTGTTATTTCGAAATGGACCCATCTTTGATTGTAGCATATTGGAATACTTAACCGCTCGAAAAGAAAAATTACGATTTTTGCTTCACATTAAAACATTTTTTATATTAAAAAAGTACTCTTCTACAATTTTTGGATGAAAAGTCAAAGCGGCAATGATATTTTTTGTCATTACCAGATAGTTACAGGTAGATAGCCTTTGTCAATAATAACAAGCATTTGTCCAACTGTGACTTATTTTGAAACTCCTTGCACAAAATGCCCCAGCCGAAGCAGTAATAACTTACACCCGGAAAGAGCTAGAGACACTGGACGATTGGCTCCAAGAATTGACGCAGCTAGTGGCCGATCTTGAGATCCAGACCCAAAGGTGTTGGACATAATTGGTGCAGGGAGTTCCAGAGAAACGCGCAGCATTTCACAACTGACACTCTTCCACGCACCGCTTAATTGTCCTGATAACTCCCCCGAGAAAATGCTACATTTTTACCATGTATGTAAGATACACAGGACCCTGGAAGACATTAAATTTCTGATCTTGCAAACACCGGTTCAAATTGAACAGGAGTTAATTAACCGAATACGAGAAGCTGCTCAAAATGCTGAGACCAGACTGTTGTCAAGAGTGCACCATAAAGTGATTGGGACACAAACTAGGGATGACACAAAATACTTGTCACAGATATTTTGGAACAGATATAGATATGGAACAATCGGTACCTGTTATTATCATTGAAACAACAGGGGTGGCATACGATGTTGGTCCTAGTACCCGTACAATATCTGGGATTTTAATATTTCAACAAAGCAAAAAGAAAGGAGATCTTTTATTCTCATGAAGTGGTAAGGTTTTGTATGTATGAGAGTGGGACCTGATGGTTTTTTGAATCCATGCAACCGACCATGATTCGGCAAATAGCCATATTCAAGGAACAGAAAATATCGATAACAGCGGTAAATGCAATCTTCGACATTTTCTTTAATGTGACCATAGACCTAATGTAACTTCAGCCCGGTTTCAGATACGAACCAATATTTGTGATGGGTGACATACATGTGAAAACATGTGATAAAATCACAGAGACTCGGAACAGATACGAGTCTGGAATAGTCACACATGGAACATGTCACTCAAAAATACTGGTTTGTGTCATCTTTTACACAAACACGTTTGGAATTAAACGGGCAGAACTCCTGTTGTGATTTAATAACTTAATTGAATTTTATTTTATCGCATTGATCATTGATACTGATTGATATATTGATGGTGATGACATATACCGCAGAAACCAGGCCAGAAGCAGCGAAAACCAAAAAACTCCTAGAGACAGCTGAGATGAAAATACTCCGTAGAATCACCGGAAATACACTCCTGGATAGAGAGAGAAGCTAGGATGTCAGAACAGCCTGTAATGTCAAGAACATCAATGAATGGGTAGCAAACAAGAAGAAGGAATGGCATGAGCACATAAGCAGGATGGACCAACGCAGACTTGTGAGATTCGCTCGCGACAAGGAAACGTTGGGCGCCCCAGAAAACGATGGAGCGACAGCCTCATGCAAGTGAACGATCTTTCTGAAAGTTTATACCACTAAGTAATCGGATATACTGTAGTGATCCAAAAACATTTTGAGCGATACGAATTCGAGATTTATTTAAAATTATACCGCGCGTTTTGAAATTAGTGACATCTAGGCTTAAGATGAACAGGCTCCAATTGCATTTTATTTTCAATAGAACACCCTGTATATTAGTCCACGCTCGGGAAGAGCATCAAATTCCCTATGAAATAATACTGAACAATTTTTTTTTTGCACACTTTTCGATTATGTTGACGCATTTGACGCAGATAGTCATGAAATGCTTTTTCGCGTGGGTTGTAAGAATGTTTCAGATCAGTTGTTAACTTAACAATTAACAAAATAAGAGTAATATACAGGGTGGCTCTTTGAAAACAATGCATGCAGTCGTTTTCAACTCTTGCCAGAATGTCACTAATTTCAAGACAATCAATATAATTCAGAACAAATTGATGCATGTGCTTACGGGATGGGATATGGGAATGCTCTGAAACTTAATTGTCTATTGAGCGACAAAAAGATCAGTCAGACACGAACAATACAATCAAGGGCACTGACATGGGGGGTGAAAACCGCTGTACAACACTGGAGAAGGCTTTAAGAGCCGTTTACACGGCTGTATAATAGGCAGACCTAAAATAAACATGCTGTTTTATTGAAAATTAAAGAATAATGGCACAGTTCTTAACAGCAAGAAAGCACTGGGGTGTCCGAAATCCGAAAGGAATTGTGTTAAAGGTCACAATTCCTTAAGTGTTAAATGAAAAATTGACTTCTTTTGTACCTATTATGTGACATATATTCGTTTAAATGCTTTGTTGTTCTCTAGAGGTACCACTCAATTAGGCAGAAGAAAACAAACAATTAAATAAAACGTTGAAGGGTTAGAGTAGCGTACTTTCAGCCGAAAATTGCTGAATTTTAAAAAGTCAGTAAAAGCCAGACGATAACACTCTAGCGGGCAAATAAAATTGTAATCAAAATAACACAAAACCGACACGACTTATCGGCGCTTTCAATGTCAATGTCTTCAACGGACATCGAACCAGCGACAAACCGCGTCGCCAAGTTGATTAATGGCTTCCATAATCAGTCTGCCACTGTTTGCAAAACGTTTCAAGTTCTAGCACTGCATTCAATACGTAAACTTAGCCATCAATTTTCTTCGCAATAAATTCGTGCCCTTTGAGGAAAAGGTGAAGTTCAGCGCGCCCTCAGCATCCGACCGAGGGCGTCCGGACGTCAGCTTTTGCCGTTTCTGTGGAAACGACATCGGGCGTCGGCCCTCACTGACCTTGTCCGGTCACTCGATAACGCACAACCTCAAAGCGAGAGATTAACAGTTGAGGAAGTACATCGGCAGAGTTTTATAGAGCCGCTAGTGTTTGGTAGCTTTGGTTAAATGCTTTTGGAAACATTTAGTCGCGTTTTTCAAATCAGTCAATTATCTATTACTTACATCAGCCTAAAAAATGATTAAAATAAATAATAAGTAATGCAATTGCCTCCTACTGCATGCTCTTTTGGTATCAGCAAAATGTTGTATCCATCTTTCATGACGTTAATTCGAATTGCGTTGTATCAACATGTAACAACATGTAACGCTTCTTTGGTATCACTAAAGTTATTTTTGCTCTTTCTCGTCCTCGCCCTCCTCCTGAAGTACAATTACATACTGCATTCCGCAAAAATATCTCATATTACATCTCAATAATAGATTTTAAGCCTATTGAAAATTCCTTTGTTAGTAACCATGCTTTTGTCTGACCAAATAGTTTTGAATTACATTTTTTTGTCGATGTTGCACTGCCTAGTGCCAGTATGCCACAACAACAACACTGCCCACAGCACTACTACTACTACTAGGTACTACTTGGGTGAGTCGCGCTTGCTTCACATAGTCATTACCAGACATAGCCGTTTGGCAACACTCGAATATTATGGTTTAGTTGGGGAACATTCCCTATTTTAAAGCCGTGGAGCTTTCTCGAGCATTCTATCTATCTATCTATCTATCTCGCTGGCAGCGTTGCCACTACGGCGTGTTAATCCGCGCTCGCCGTAACAGTATTTACTCATTTACCTAACAATTACATTTATTTGTTTAATTGGTTACTCACTTAGTTTTTCTAAATTATTTTCAGTTGTATTTTTGCGATCGACGTTTTTAACACCATTTTATCAATGGGGAAGAAGTAACCAAACACTGCTGATCGCACAGGTTGAATCGAATGACCTCTAAGTGAAGCAAGGACCGATAACAGCTTCGACTTTACTGATAATACGTAGATACTTTATCTCTTAAGGGCACCACACTCTGGATTTGCACGCGAATTTGTTCAATGCCATTGATAATAATTATATCTGACAAAATTGTCATGCCGTCATCGAACTTAACACTCTAAGGTTATATCTTGTATGTTAATTAACGTTAAAAATCCACCATAAAATAATCGAACACAAAATGTGACATCTTAAAGACCCTCCCCTGTAGATCGATTGGCGTAAGTACAACGCACAGGGGAGCATGCCGGGTCAAGGTTACATCCTCCAACTCCAACTCGAAAAGGGAAAAGGAAATTCGTAAGTTTGCGTGAGTTGGGGGCGGCGTAAACACCGACCTTGGAGCGAATTAACAACCTTTTGTGCCTCCGCATTTTGTTTCTTGTCGATCACAACGTGAGTTTTCTTTGAAAAAATGTTTCTCTAGGAATCTACCTCTATATGTTCGCATTAATTAAGAGATCGTACTGGAGAAGATAAAATAACTGATTTTAATATGATGACAATGAACCTAAAACGGGACTTCATATCCAGTTCGATTCCCCAAGTCGCATTTCTTCACAATCAGACCCATAATTGGAAAGGCTAGGTAATTAATATTCTATCCTCGATCGGGTCAATCAATTAATTCCCGAAGGATAAGGGGCATTAATTGCTAATAGCCGGGCCCGAATTCTTATTAAAGGAGTCCCATTATCGGGAGAATCAATCCATTCAGGAGCAGCCTTCTTTATCCGTGTCAAATTAACTTTTTCCGTTCACTTCCAATTTTCGGAGAAGCTTGGTTTCTCCCTTGTGGGGACAGATGGGGTGGGTAAATAAAGCACTGTTTTTGCCTTTAAATGACGGCTGGGGCTCCAAAAGATTAGCAAATTAATGCTTTTTTTAATTAAAAAGTTTGGTGTTTGGTGAAGGCGAGATTTGCCGCTTATTTGCATCTGCAAAGACAACTGACCGACCAATAGAAAAACGGCTCAATCCAAAACCAATAAACCTCCGCTTTTCCATGAAAGTTGAACGGAAGGTCACCGTGTGCGACAGTCGCTTGTTTTTCAAGCTAAAATGGAAAATATATTAATAAATCAATAACAGGCCATCTTTAGACCCAAGGTCGCGGATGTGATCAGCAAATGTCAATGGACAAGGTCGCAGATTAACAATATCTAATTATATGGGATGGGAACGGTTTGTCTATAACATTATGTTCAGTGTGCAACAGGTTTGAGTGGTTGTTGCATTTACCTTTTTAGAAAGCGGGAAAAGTATCAGACAGATCGAATACTTAGGAATAGGTGCATAAAAGTAATTAAGCTCTTATTAGCAAAGTCTGGACAATTTTTCTAGTTTGCCAAACAGGGCGATTGTGTCGTTTGAGTCTGCCGCATTTTTAGATTTATCTTTTTTTGCCTTAACAAACGGTATCAACAATTTTTAACTCCACTTGCAAAATGGTCGCAAAGATGCATAATAATTGTGTGTTTTGCAACAGTTGGATTGGGGTTATCGATTGATTGAGGTTATCTAGCGCGTCGCTAGTCAGATGGTGGATTATTTGTCTTTTTCGGGAATTGAATTTAATGCAGAATTGCCACGCATTTTTTAGCGTTGTTTTCCTTTTCCCAACCCGACCAAATTAGGTATTCAACAAAACAATTTTTATTAACTTAAAACATTTTACGCAGTTTGGCAACACCGCTAGAAATTTAGCCTGAAAATGGTGATGTTCCTCAAAATTTCTGAGTGTTTGTTGGCTTAATTTATGGACCATCCATTACTTTCACTGAAACTGCGTAATTCAAAGTGTTCTTAAAGTAAAACAAGAAACACTAAAAATTCGGGGGAACTTAAACGGCACGATCACCGCCAAAGAGTAGTCTTTGTCATTGTACCCTTTAAATAATGCGACCGAAAGAAACGAATAGAAAATACATTGCGGGCAGGATCGAGTTGTAGCTTTCTCATTAACCATCTACAATCTCATATCCTGCCTTGATTTGCATACAATAAGAGAGCAGTGTCGCCTTGATCTCGAAACACATATTTCGTATGAAACTCTTGTTGGTTGGTCCCCGTGTACGATTGCGCCAGTTCCAATGGCAAAAAGGTTCGTGAAGAGCGGGCGGAAGAAGGAAGAAAGTTGAAAGTTGAGTTTGCGCCGCAGGCGTTGCCTAATTTGGAGTAGGTCACAGAAATGTAAAACTATAATGGATCTTTTTTTGATATATTAATGAGGCGCCTTGAACTCATCTGTGATTCATGCTTTCACGGATTTACTGTTTGAAGGGTTACGCAAGGTAATGGTGCCGTAATTTGGTGCGAAACTTTCTCGCTTTGCCTTGCAATCCCAAATCATTGGACTACTGAAGATCTGATTTGCTCAAGCAGCCATTTGGTAATTTTATTCATTGTACTTGCTTGTCGAAACAGTTCCATATGAAAGCCGCAATAAGTGTCGCACAATTTTTATCGACAGCAACAAAAAAAGTCAATGACGGTAAATTGTCTGTCTACTGAAGTGTTTTCATTCGGGTTATATTCTTTCAAAGGTTGCAATCTAGAATTAACAATTTGAGCGATTTTTTTTTATACTGGTCAAAACTAATCTAAGCTGATAGAAACCAATTGTCTTCGGATGCCGATCCGTTGCGGATATTGACGTTCAGAAAATTCTCAAAACGTTTTGTGAAGTTTTTGTCCATGATAAAATTTATTTATGAAATAAAATTTAGTCATAGAAGAAAAGGCTAAAAGGCAAAAAGATTTTCCGGTACCGGGAATCGAACCCGAGCCTCCTGGGTGAGAGCCAGGTATCCTAGCCACTAGACCATACCGGATATATACTGCACATACAGAAGGAGAGGTTTACATTCAAAAACACCGTCCATAACATAATTTTCCCGACAAATATAATATTTTTTTACTACTCATCTGTAAAGTGGCCATTATTTACTGAATTTTCCTAATGAGAAGTGTTATTTATCTCTCTAGAACTTGAAGAGTTTCATTATTTTTATTTTGTCCAACTCTAAGTTCAAGTGAGATTCCATAAAAAGGACTTGGTATAAAATAGCTCACTTCTCGACTTAGGCATTCTATAATATACACACAAATATACTATTTATATAATATAATATACTATTTATTTGTCTTCATTGCCATTTCTGTTTTAAAATGAAATTGAAATTAAACTTTAAAAAGTTAAAAATTTGCTTCTGGGTGAACGATATACGAACATATACGAATAACGAACATATACGAAATATATAAAATCGTCATAACAATTATTTCAGCAATGATGGACAGCAGAAGTAGTGTTGGCATGATTCCGCAAAAATATCCAGATTACCTTTTAACTCATAAGGGATCAGAGTCAAGACGTAATTTTTAGGCATAGTCTTGATTTGGTGTGATGTTACTTTAATAGTAGTTTTCGATACAAGGGCGAAAAACGGATTTTCATCACTTCAAGACATAGTTATACTCATCGGGCATTTGTTCTTAAGAAAAATATTCTCTTTCCTCAGTCTGATAACCATCCCTGTTTATAAATATGTATACGTATTATACAAAATTTAAAATTCTAGTTTATTTTCAATTGCTCCGCCCATGACTGCGGCTGCTAGAATTTCCTTCATTATAACAATTGGGCGTAAATGATCAATAGCACAATTTTAATACTAAGAGCAGTGAACTAGGCATTCCAATAACTATAATTTCGTTAGGGAAAGAAATAACGCAATGCAGTATTAAAATAAGGAATAACCATAGTACTGCATGACAGTATCTAGCATTTCCAATATCTCTCTATTATTTTTGATGGTATTTTCTTATCAGTTTCTCGGCGATGGGCTTGCTGGAATTTTGATAATTTGGGTTTACAGACAAGGTCAATCGGCAATATATGGCACACACTACACAGGTATCATTTCATTTATTCGATGTTTTTAATTTTGGGTGTTGGTGTTCCGAGGGATGCAAACATGCACCTGATGTCGGGTGGCACTGCGGTGAGTCTGTGAGAGTTACGCACTTCTGCTGCTCACTGGGTAGCCGGTATTTTCACTTTCTGGCAATCACCCTCGGCTGAGCAACCCGATTTCCTTGGATCAAGATTTTTGGATTATCCGGGTTGCCGGGGCTGACTATCGTCGCGTTTCCGCGTTGAAAAAAAACGATTTGAACCGCACAAGACGATTGCTCGGAGCTTCACACTGAACGTCTACTGCCAACTATAGTCCCATATGGACTAATATATTAATTTTTACAAATATACACTATTTACAAGTCTGAGTTACAGACGCACATGCATCTGAGTAAATAGGGTAATAAAAAAAATAGTGAATAAAAATAAAACATAATAATAATATCCTTTTTGCCTCACACGACTTTACGTGTATTTTCACCAAATCACAACATCCTATTCATATCGTACGTTTCCCAGCAATTCATGTTTTTTTCCTCAATTTATGTGCGACCAAAATAACCTTTTCAATTCAAAATCGATATTGTTCTCATTTGCAAAATCATCAACCAATCGCCACCTTCTATTGACTTAAAATCGATTAGAAAACCTCATCGATCACAAATAAAATACGAATAAAATTTTGCCATTAACCGCGGCAAAATATCTGGATGATACAATCTGATACAAGTAGGCATGGGTAACTCAGTCAATTTTCCCGAGTTGGCGCAGTGCTGGCGGATTAGCTTGGTGCGCCAACCCAACCGACCGGCTTTATTTTACGTGTTGAAAAATAAAATATCGCCAAACTGGAAAAACGTCAGACGTAAAACATGTGGTGACCTTTTTTTTTACGTGCTTAAATTCTACTAGCCCCGGATCTCGTGAAATTTTAATCCGGCCCTGGGTTATTTGCTATGAGTGATTACTGCTTATCTGATGAGTTACAACTCATTAACTCACAGAGCGACATGAGCTCAATAGGGCAACTCAACACAGTGCTACCGATGCCTAG